GTCCTGAGCGTCGTCGTGATGAGCCCAGTCTGCGAACGCCTCTTTACTCTGATTACTGACACACACAACTCTGTGTTAGTGCCTGTGCTGGGGTGTGTGTGTGTGTGTGTGTGTGTGTGTGTGTGTGTTTTACCTCAGTGTGTTGTTGATGGCGCCCAGTTCATGAGCCTGTTCACAGTCGAGGACGCCAGCGCCGGCCTGAGAAAACTAGAGGAGGAACACTCGTTACATTTTATTAGACTTTTTATTAGACTTAAAATATAATAAAAATATAAATCAACTTTTAATTTAAAAAATCAAATTAAAAAATAGCTTTTTTGTGTGATTTGATTTAACAACTTTTAATTGCAGTGAACTTAAAACAATCTTTACATGAAATTGTATTACTTTTATTAGTCAGATAACAAATAGTGTTATTTTACATTTAGACTCAGATATATAAATATATAAACTTTTTTTTTTCTGATCAGAAAACGATCCGATCCGTGGCTCAAAACCGCAGCTGATCCGAACCGTGAGTGTGTGTGTGTGAATCTGCAGTCTGCTTGCTTGTTCCGGGTGTTAGTTCACGCTTGAATGGTTTAATATTTGAATGAATGATGGCATGATCATGTGACACAGCCGAAGGATGATGGGAAAAACTGATAAATATATATATAGGCTACACATGTATATATTTACAAACTTAAGTAAGGCGCAATTGACAGTCAGAGCCTCAATTTATTAATTAAATCAGATTAATTAAGCACAGGGTTATCACAGTTCAGCCAAAACTACAAACTACAAACATAAAACACTGTTACTTGGCTTATTTTCATTCAGATATTGCCAAATATAGTTTAACTTGATCAACTAAAATAACTAAAACTGAAATAAATTCATAAAAACTATTAAAGATGACTAAAATAATTAGTTTAAACAAATTCAAATAAAAAAGGGAAACATAATAACAATACATTCAGTATATGAATAAAAACTATAATAGTGATGACTCATGATGAGTTATTATCTCTCGATCACACACACCTGCAGCAAACACACACGGGTCACACGCTGAACAAACAAACAACCAGAGACTCACACATACACAAGTAACACACACACGTTCAGCTGGAAGTGTCTCACCTTGTTATAGTTGCCGGATTTAATTCCTACAGGAACTTTACTCTGGAAGAAATGAAACCGATGATCAGAACAGAGAGAGAAATCTAATAAAACACAACGATCTCGACCAGATCAGCCTGTGATTGGCCTGGTGTTGACCTCTGACCTCTGGGCATGGCTCTACGTGGCAGTCTTTGATGGAGCAATGGCCGTCATCGGGCCAGAATGGGCACGGGCGCTTCAGGTTCACCTGCACACACACACACACACATTAATATGAATCCCCCAAAGCCCATCCAGACGAAGCCCGAGCCGGACCGCCACTCGCCTTGTAGTAGCGGAAGAAGTCTCTCTCGGTGAGCTTGAGGACGTGCGGGTAGATCTTGAAGTTGTTGAAGGCGTCGATGCTCTCGATGTCGCAGAAGCAGTCGTCCAGCACCCCGGTCAGCTGCACACACACTTCATCATTACTGACCTCACGCTCATATTCAAAGCATACCTCATTACATTTCAGAATAAAGAATTTCAAATACAGAACACATGTATAGAAAAAAAGCAGCAAAAAATTATTCAATAAAAAATGTTTACAAAAATAATAATAATGTGGTGCTTATAAATATTTGCACATATTTGCATCTGACCTGCGGCTGTTTTGAATACAAAAGTCCCAAAAGTCCCAGAACAAACAGAGAAGGGATTAAAACAGTCATGCCTTGAGTAAATGTTGAGTAAGTGCTGAGTGTTGCTCAGTGTTTCGAGAGATGAGCTGTCAAACTCGAACTACCGCGTGTAGACCCCGCCGCACGCCCCGCCTCCAAACAAACACACGTCACACACACGCGCGCCGCGCTGTAGTTCTCCGCGGGCGCGCTCAGCGCTGCTGTCAACCCGTTCGGGAACGAGGAAAGACTACAAACCCCACAACCCCGCTGACGTCAGCGCACCCGGGGGGCCAATGGGAGAACACCACGCTCAATAACAGAAGCGGTTTCCAACGTATTTTAAATGTATGTCGCTTTATACTGTGAACTCTCTATCCCTTATTATTCGTTTTCAATGTTTTTTAAATTAACTAAACTTAGTATTATAACAATCTCAGTCCTCTGGGAGTTACCAAACAAATTTCGTTGTATAACTACAATGACAAATAACGTTCTATTCTATAATGCCTTTTCATAAAAACTCTGAATTAACATCTGGCAAAAAAAAAAAGAAAACAAAATATCCAAGCCAGATTTTTTTTTGTGATATGTTTGACATATTTTTCTGTTGGTATCATTTGCAGCCACACAGACAGTGCGAAATAAACGCTTTACACACGCAATGAAAGTAAGAATATACATCATTAAGCTACACGAACACGTCTAATTTTAAAAAGAAACCGCAACGAACTGCGGATGCGATGACGTCACACTCGCGCGACAGAAGAACATGCCAGAAATACTACTGTAACTACACGAAAAACACACGTATTAACGCTAATAGTATGTTTTTGTTCTGGTCGTAGCATGGGGTACACGTACATGACACAGGCAGCTGTCCGAGGGCTCCTGCTGCGGGCTTCCGCTGCTCTTCTTCCCGTTGTTTTGAAACCATCCCGAGCAGGAATCAGCGCAGAATAGACTCAGTACAGCCAGGATTCCGCGGGTCTGTGTGGAGTTCAACATCGCTGAGGTAAAACATCAAGATATGAGGGAATCGCGCTAACTTCCTGTCCGGAGGAGACGGCAGAACTCGACGACAGCTTCGCGCTACTCGGACATCACGAAGACCTGCGATGTCGCGTTTGCTCTCAGGGGAAAACACACTAAAAATGCACAAAAGTGTAGAAACTGTTCAACATCGACACAGGAAGCACCACAGAAACCGAGGGGGCGTGGCTAAGTGCGCGCGCACTCGGTGTAAATTACAGGTGCACGTGCGCCAGAGGCCGCGAGGGGGCGCTAGAGGATCTGTGGACGCGCAGCGGAAACACTGTACAAAATAGCATTAAACTAAATACTGATTTGATTAAAGTAAATATATTTACATAATTCTATTTAAATAAATAATATTTTAATACATTAGATTAAAATAAATTGATTAGAATAAAATATTCAAATAAACAAAAATTAAATAATATATTTTTTAAATCAAGTTGATTAAAATGTTGATTACATTTTATTTAGACATGAACATTTGATTAAACAAATAAACAATCATTTTATTAAAATAAAACAATTTGATTGAAAATTAATTTAATATAAATAAATAAATAAATACATCATATTATGTTCATGTCTCTCAGTAAACCCATGGGATTTGTTAGTCAGTGTGGCTTTATGTGTAAAGTTGGACACAGTTGAAGTTTATTATCATACAGTACGAAACATCAGATTTCTTGTGTTAGACATGAGAAGTTTATTTTTCAAGTATTGAAGCACAATCGGTGAAACTCGGCCGTCCGACTGTGTCTCTTCACGGAGAGAGAGAGTTTGAGAAACACAGACGAACCCCGGCCCATAAACCTGTGCATGTGACCCAACATTTCAGCATCTGAGACACTCAAAATAAAAATAATAATAATAATAATAATAATAATGCATCATCATATTAAAGACTGAATGAGCCACTAAAATCAGCACCAAACACACGATGTTTCTGATGATTCTCAACCTCTCCTTCAGATATAGTTATAAAACTTCTTTAATTAACACAAACTGGCAGTATTGAACTGTGTTCTTCAATAAAAACAATACTTATTAAAGGGGAAAATGTAATGTATGTCTTTTTTTTTTCATTTTATTTTATTATTTTATTTATTGTTAAGTCGCCCTTGTTGATAAAAATTCAGAATAAAAATTAAATCACGTGTGAATTACAATATGAAAACAACGAGCACAAGAAAGAGGAAGAACGGCACATTTGAAGGACATTTTCAATTATAAGTTTACTTTGAAGACAATGTAGTGAATGTTCACGACTGATGCTCAGTTTTCAACATTTGGTCTTCCCCTGAATCTTGAGTGTGTGATGAAGATTAAACTCAATACTCATCATCATAACTGCAGGAAGTGCTTCCGATTCACCAACAGCATCAATACTGGCCACTGAACAGGTGAGTGAACCGTGAACACCCCTGCTGTCAATCATCACACTGGCCCCACCCACCACACAGACTCCGCCCACCCCAGGGACTCTGCCCATCACACAGACCCCACCCACTACACAGACTCCGCCCACCCCGAGTCCTGTCGCTGCCAGGCTTCATCAGAGGAAGTTGTTGGAGATCTGGCGCTGGTGTTCAAACAGGTCCTCTACCTCGGCGCTGTAGGCGTCACCTGTGAGACGGGAACCGAACATGAGCTCCAGAATAAAGTCCCAAAAACTAAACAATGCTCTTGATTCTCTTGACAAAACTATTCTGAATGTTTTTAAAAAAAAAATCATCATTAATAACCTCTTAAAGTTAGAACGACCTCCAACTTAATTCATTTATTAGCTTGTTTAATTAATTAAACATTACAGCATGCAGATACATAAATATTATTATTAATAGAGAAGCGCACGAGTTCTCTGAAGTGATGACCTCGCTTTTAATTTTTGGCAGCATTCAGAGCTACATATCAGCGCATTAAAACACAACGCCAAATGAATATTGTGTGTTCTTATTATACGTATTACGGTAATAATCCAGGAATAAGCCTATAAACTCCTACGCAAGAAGAAAAGATGTTCTTACGAAATTATTTGCAAACTTTTTCCAGAATTGTACTCAGCTATGGAAAACAATGATAAGTGCAAATTTTATAATTTTATATTTCGCAATTTAGACTATTTTCTCAGAACTACAAGATATAAACTCACACAAAATAAGAGATAAAAAGTAACAATTGCCTTTTTTTTTAATTCGAAGATTATATTTTGCAATTCGTATTTATCAAATTGTGAGAAATAAACCTGGAACTAATTAAAAAGTCTTTTTTTTAACTTTTTAAACTTCCATATATAGGAACATCTGATACAATTCTGAGGGTCTGTTTGCACAACACTATTTTCAACTAAAATAAAATTTGCTAAATTGCTAAAAATATATATTTTTGTTGTTATTAAAAACAAGCAAGCCAAGCCCAGCTGAGGAAAAGTAACGCAAAAGTAACGTGACATTACTTTTCATTAAAAGTAGCTAAGTAATCCAATTAGTTACTTTTTTTGGAGTAATATTGTAATGCATTATTTTTAAAAGTAACTTTCCCCAACACTGTGTGTGTGTGTGTGTGTGTGAGTCTCACCCGCGTGGCAGCCGTACAGATACACTCGCGCGCCGTCGTAGCGGCACCGGCAGCGCATCACGTTATTCTGGAAGTCGGACTCGGCCATATCCAGAGACGGGTTCACCTCCACCTGCAGAACACACACACACACACTCACATCTGGACTCACTTATCCGGTTCACACACACACACACAGACGAGATGGAGAACCACAGAACTACACTTCATCTTTAACGACTTTTCCATCCCACACACGGCCTCGTAAACACAGACGGGTCGTGGATATGATGTTTTCTGCCTAATTTGTGGCACGGAGTTGAACTTCATCACGGTTTAATGGAGTCCTGCTGGAACTACTGACGCGAGACGGACACGACGAGACACAAACGTGGAACGGAAAGATTCTGGAATGACTGTGCAATCATGCAGGATCATCTTTAGCTGACCGCGAGGGAACGTCCGAGAATAACAAGCCTCAATCATGGCAGAAACACCCTGTAATCGCATCAAACACACGGCAGGAGATGAAGAACGTCACATGATCCGCAATCACACTTGATACCACACTCGCTCACACTGTGACCTCTGACCTGGAAGATGTAGTCTCCCGGTGTGACGTCGGTGATGTCCACCCACTGGCAGTCGATGTCGTGGCGGTATGTATCCCAGCATCCCACAGTGATGCCCTGGTCGCCCATGTTGTAGCAGGCGTAGCGCTTCGTCAGGCCTGTTGCCGTGGAGACAAAGCAAACGAGACGCTGTTGTTTAAGAGCTCATCATATCGAAAAATCTAAAGAGACTAAAGATTATAATCAATAATCACTGATCACTCCAGAGTGTGTGTGTGTGTGTGTGTCGCTTCACCTTCAGGGCAGTATGTGTCCTCCAAACAGAAACTGGCCTTGTGACCCTCAGCCACCTTCGTGCCGTTCAGGGTCAAGAGGTCGTAGTGTGTGAAGACCTCGATACTGTGGTAATGCCTGTAAGAGATCAGAAACACAGCAGTCATGTGACACAATCCTGGCCTCTCATTGGGTTGTAAACGGTCACATGACAGATCCTCCTCCTGCGGGACGAGCTTGACCACAGAATCCTGACCGCAGCTGCACACAGAACCGACTACTGCCGCGTTCTGCTTATTACATACCGGGAGTTTCCGGTTCATCGCTCGTCCATACATGATCACCACGTTTTATGGATGCCAATTGATTAAAGCAATGAATAACGATCTCTGTATTAATTATGTTGAGTCTGCTGAAATGTTCCTATAAATATATTTTCTTTCCAACTGTTCGATTCTGAATAATAAATAGGCTAAATATTATAATAACTGGTAGTTGTCAAATAGGAATAAATAGGTCTAACCGGAGCTAAACTACACTAACAACACGTATACTGTGCTAATTCCTAACATAAGATCTGAACACTCATCATGTCCCAGGAGGATTCGTTGAGTTAACAAACAGGAAACAGTAGCAATAACTTGCCCTCTTTTAAAAAGGAAGTACTCAGGAAGGCCCTGTTACACATCTCTCTCCACGACGGTGAGACACACATTTTTACATTAAGCAGTAAATGAACCATCTGATCTAACTTGAACATTAACACACATAACTTTACTTACTAATAAACAATTACCCATAATGCACCCAGCTGCTAGCGCTGACTGCCAGGTCATTACACTATATTTATCCACTAACCTGCAGTAGTCTTCTGTCTTCTCATTAACAACAGTATTTTTGTCTGTGCCTACTTATATTCTATACTTGAGTTTACATTTTTTTAATTAATTTGACTAATAAAAAGTGTGCATTGGTGCTTTATTCCTGTCTTTTTTTAAATAGTTTAATGAATGAACGAATGCGATCGTAGATCAGAACGGCATAGAGGAGAATGAGTCAACTTCTCTGATAATTAATTAAGCATTTTGGTCATGAACATGTAAATAGTACAACGGTTGACATTGAAAAATGACACTGACTGATTACAATATTTAATCCAAATAAATGTTCGTGTTTCGTACTGATGTTGTTCTCACGAACGCAGACGAACACTGACACCCTGTGGTGAAATAATGGCGTTTTTTAACAGCCGCAGCTTTCTCGGATTGGCTTGGTTTGGATTTAATTAACGTTCCGATGAGTTTTGAAAATTCTGCACACGGTAAACATCAGAATATCCCTTCTTCTGTCAATAAAAATGTCCAAAATATAAAATCTTATTACAGACACTCATTTTAGGTGGTGTTTGTTCAACTCATTGACGATTGACCGCAGTTCATTGAAAGTAAACGTAACCGGAAGTAAGTGATCTGTATTGTTTCCAAACGGAAGTGTGTCGCGAAGCTCAGGGCAAGTAGTCCATACACACACACACACACACACACACACTAGTAAAGCAGTGGGAGTGTGACCACTAGAGGGCATGCTTGTGCAACAGTGGCTGAATCAGTGTTGTAGCCTGTGTTTGGAGTCAGATCTATCTTGTGTGAACATCTGTTACTAAACTAGAGACGTCAAATATGCAGCATCTCTCCATCTCCACATTCTGCTGCACTACAGAATACACACACACACACACACACACACACACCTGTGGCACTGGTGCCAGGTCCAGGACTCTTTTGTGGCTCTGGGTCTGAAGTCGGCTCTGCCCAGGTTCATGATGCGTGAGGAGAAGCGCAGGAGCCGCCGGTGGCCGTGGGGCCAGTTCATGCGCGAGGCGGAGGAGGACAGGCAGTGTTCCTCGTGAGCGCAGGTGAGGAGGTGCAGCGGACGGTCCTCCAGGTACGCAGACTCCTGAACCAGCTGAGCGTCCACCACCAGATCCGGAGCCACTGGCCAAACAGCAGCAGCGCCGTTATATAATCACCAACAATAAAACATCATTATTTTATAAGTGATTCCCAGGAGCTCTGGTACCGTCTGCACAGGTGACCCCAGCTGCTTTAGCTCCGCCCCCTCGAGGGCAGTACACCTGCTGGCTCCTCCCACACTGCTGAATGGAGATCTCAGTCCCGATGCAGTGAGCTCCACTAATAACCACGTCCTCCGATCCGGAGCTTCCCGACCAGAACCACGTCTCCTGCGCACACACACACACACACACACACGCACGAGACGTGTTAGTACACATCATTCATGCACATTATCAAGGATTTTCCACTTTCCTCCCCAGAGCCACTTTTAAACGGGCTTTTATAAGAGCACAAATGTGATCCACATCCAGCGGTGTTATTTTGGGGTTGTTTTCTCTCTGGTTTTCCAGCTCTTTCCCTGAATCTGTGCAGGGCTGTAATTACCTTCTGCATGGGAAACAACAGCCGGGAAAACAAAAGCTCTGCGGATGTAAACACTGCCGAATAAAACACACTCAGCACTCGATTACACCAGAGACTGACAGCGGGGTTTCACGAGCAGCTCTGCGGGTCTCGTTCAGATGCTGTTATTGATCAGAAGTTTAACTCTCTATAACGGTCGAGCTGAGAGAGAAACACACCATCCGCTGTTCAACCCGACACCAAAACTCAAGACGGCTGAGCAAACATACAATTACAAATAATGAATCATAATAAATGATCGATTTGCAATGTGATTTGTCAATTTCTTTACTATGACAATTTTTACTTAGTTTTACTTTAGCTTAGTTTTACCTTCATCCAGCCTGACCGATGAAGGATTTTGAAGGCCGTTATTGATACAAATATTTGTTGGTTTTAAAATCCGATATTCCGATATATCAGCCGATATTTAAAAAAAAAAATTTTTTTTTTTTAGATTAACAGATTTAGAAACATTAACAAATAATATGATAATGCATTATAAAAAGAAACTTGTTTCTTTCATTGTCACAACAGAACAGACTGATGATAGCGGCATTAGCTAGTCTTTGTAATTGATGAGCCATAATTTAGCAATGGATTACGTCATACTGCGAATTGTAAATCATCCATTTTCAGTATAACAGGCCGAGGAGAGATGATGCGTCTCATTGCTATAACTGTCACGCGCTATTAAAGAAATACTTCAGTCACATCGTCAAAAGTTAAAAGGACAGTCAGTCAACGACACCGAAACAACGTAACGCAACTATTACTAGCTAATTCAGCTTCACTCTCGACTTATTTAACAGCAGCAAAACTGGACATGATAGTCACAAATGTTGTCCTGCTTATTTGAGTTCAGAGAACTGATGGGGATGATCTTTTAATTGTTATTCGAGCAATGTATGTATCGTGACCAACTCAACGAGTGTTGCCGACAGGAACGGTGTAGAGCGCCCTCTGGTGGACAAACTATACAACTCCAACACTCATGACACGGTTCAAGCGTGTTTCGTCCGTTTTTATTAGATTTTTGAAATAGTTTGATAGTTTGGAAAATGCTTAATATCGATAATATCAGTCTGGCTCTAATGAGGAGTGTTGAGGTGTTCGTGAGGAGGAGCGTTGAGGTGTTCGTGAGGATGAGGAGTGTTGAGGTGTTCGTGAGGATGAGGAGTGTTGAGGTGTTCGTGAGGAGGAGTGTTGATGACCTGATGTGCACTGGAGGCGAACCCGAAGCCCAGCTGGCGGCACACAACCATAGCCTCATTGAGACCCCAGTTCTCACTGCAGACGGAGCCCCATCTCTGCTGCCCGTCGACCTCCATCAGCACCTCCACTCGGCCCTCCATCACCTGCCGCCCGCCCGCCAGACGCACCTGCACACACACACACACACACACATTACACCCGCTGCACACACTCCTCCCTGCACAGCTGAAACATGCCACACACAGACATCAGTGCTGTAGAGATGAGGGTGTGTGTGGAGGGTGTGTGTGGAGGGTGTGTGTGGAGGGTGTGTGTCGCACCGTGGCGCTCAGGCCGGTGTCGGGAACGTTGCAGCGCACACTCGCGTCCTGAGTGTGTTTGCAGGAGCGCAGGGAAACCTCCTGGAAGCGGCACTGCGTGATGGATCTCTCACCGCCCGAACACTGCACTGCGTTCATGTGGATCAGACCCGTACCTGCACACACACACACACACACACACACTCATGTTGTGTTTTCATGTTTTATGGAGACTTTCCATAGACATAATGATGTTTAAACTGTATATTGGCCAAATTGTGCAGGCCAGCATAACTGGAGCTTTAAAAAACACATTTAAAAAAACTCGATTTCGATTTAGAAATATTACACAACCCCCCCCAAAAAAACACTCAATTTTATCATTATAAAAATGCAATTTTATAAACATGAAGCTGTTCCCACCGCAGGAAGACAAACACGCCACTGCATTAAAGGTTCACAGCGCAGCGTCTGAGCGGCTCGTGTTTTCTGTTTAGACTGGTGGAGGAAATCCTCACTCAACCCTGACCAGCTCAACATTCCCATCAGCCACTGGGAAAAGAGGAAATAGCTCCCAAACGAGCAGCTCATATCCTGGCTGAATCTCATGCCTGTGCTGAACTCTTTGCCGTGGTTCGGTCACACTCCGTTACCTTGACCCATGGCCGCTCCCCGCAGGGCCTCTCGGGCCGAGCCGAAGCCCAGTTCTCGGCACACCACGCTGGCAGCTGGCAGGTCCCACAGATGATCACACACCGTTCCCCACTTCCCATCGCGGAGGACCTCCACCCGACCCTCGCCCAGCCGTGGACCCGCTTTCAGACGCACCTCCACCTGCGGACACAAGAGCAGCTGAGCCCGCCCTCTCTCTCTCTCCAATCCAGCACTGAGTGAGTTAAACTGCAGTTCCTCCACTGGCCACTAGAGGCGCTGCAGAAGAGACTCACTCCATAGACCCGCATGTTAAAATGGCAGAATAAACATGTTCACAGTCTGGAGCAGAAACTGGTTGTGGTCTATATCGCTAATGTTGCTCTTCATGACGACTGTGAGCGGGTGAATTCTTTTATAACTCATCCGTTTAAATTATATTAAGCCTTAAAGTTCTGCATAATTAAGGGCGTGGCCACTTGAGTGACAGGTGGATTGCCGCTGATGTCACTAGCCGTTTGTGTGCTGTGTGTTAGCGTCACCTCAGCTAATCCGCCTCGCTGCACATGTACAGGTATCCGGGATCAGTGTAACGCAGTACAAGTAACTCAAGTTATGGAATCAGATTACAAAACTAAACAACAGTGCTCACATGTATAGTCTATTACTAATACCTTCAGATTCTGATACTTGCTGTTTTTATTCTTTATTTATTTATTTTTTCTCCCTTGTTACTGTATTTTATTTTATTTTCAAAAGCCTCCTGTGGACAGGTGTTGAAAATTAGCATGTATGCTATAATCACTAAAAACAAATGCATATGGCTCGTCCAATGTAATTGTATGTCCATGTCAAATAAAGATATAATAAAAATTATTTTTTTCAAGCAACTAGTAAAGTAAAGCATTACTGTTTGCTGGAACGTTTTTTTTTTTACTGTTTCCTCTACTGTACAGGCATGAATCTCCATTTCCTTCAGCCTGAGGATTATTCAGTTCACTTTTGCTGTGAAAGGCCTTAAGATTCACGCTGCCAAGATGGCGACGGCCAGCCCCGCCATTTTGGGCTTCAGAAAACACTACCGGTGACATCACACACACTACGCCCATACTCTTCAGTTTATGCATCAGGCATCCTCACATTCGGTGTGTGTTCGGTGTGTGTTCGGTGCGCTCACGTTCTGAGGGGGCGGAGCCTGCGGGCGTCCGGAGGAGATCCGGGAGAACCGAGCGCCGGGAAGGCAGAACACCACCGCGTGCATCCCGCCGGAGCAGGACTGGAGCCGCGCGTCCGAGAGCTGAGCCCGACACTGAGCCAGAGAAGCCTCGGTCCCCGAACACTGGACCCGGTCCACCCAGAAGCCCTTCTTGCTGACCGCAGCCCTGCACACACACACACACACACACACACACACACGTTTGTTTTGCTATATGTGAGAGGACATTCCAGAGAACAGACACACACACACACACACTAACCCAATCCCTAAACCTACCCATCACACACACACACACACACCAGATCAGTCAGTCACACATCCACGTCTCGCTCGCCGCTTAGGAAATGTGAAAATAAACAGTAAATGAAGTCGTACCTTGTGGCCGGATCCTCCATCTTGGATTCCCACAGTTTCCTGAAGACACAAATAAAAATGAAATGGTCTGAATTAAATAAACATGCTTCACATGAGCGGCCAAGCTTGTTTATATGTGTGTTAATGTCAGTCACATCACACACACACACACACACACACACACACATATATATATATATTTGGCATGGTCAGCGAACAGTCGACGGTAAATAAACACAATGTGTGAGTGTCGAAATGAAACACTGGTTTAGTGGTTAGCAGACGTTCCCGCAGAGATCTCGATGTCCTCAAAGTTCTGCCAAAACCACTCATGCTTGTGTTTCTGTCCATATATCACACACACACACACACACACACACACACCTCAGCTCCAGTGGAGGACATGCATGAGGAGGACGCACTGAAATGAGGCGCGTGTATCATGGTCTCTGAGAGTGTGTGTGTGTGTGTGTGTGTGTCCAGATATCAGTGAAATAACCCGACAGAGAACGAGACTCACTCATGTTGAGCGTTCAGGAGTGCTGACATCTGATTGGCTGACACCGTCCCCGGGGGCGGGGTTTATAATGATGTCGTTTTGTAGGCCGTAAGCCGTAAGTTGAAACTCGTCATTCAGAGTCCAGATCAAGAGCTGAAATTACTCTTAAACTGCTCGTCTGTGAGTCAGGGAATTAAAGCTGCAGATAAAAATACCCACAAGCACCTGCAGACACACACACACAGTGCTCTTTGTGCTGCTCGGAAACACAAAAATACTCCATAAAGTGCCACGATACCATCATGCCTTTGTAAATGTACCGCGGTAAGAGCAGAGGAGCGGAGTGTGTGAGTCTTCAGGAGAGGGATGGGTATATATAGTGTGTCTGAGTGCTGGTGGTCCGGGCCCAAACCACTTATTTGCCACATCAACAGCAGATTCACGCAGGCCCGCCATTGGCTGAGAGCAGTCACATGACCGAGAGCAGGCCACAGCCACACACACTTCAAGAGAACAAGAATTGCACACAAAAAGCAAAATGGCAGTAACCTGCAGTATCCTGCTAAACGAAGCACTGTGTGTGTGTGTGTGTGTGTGTGTGTGTGTGTGTGTGTGTGTGTGTGTGTGTGTGTGTGAGGCTCTGATGCATCACTATGGTTTTTTTCATAGATTGTGTTTGAAAAAGGAAATCAAGAGACTTCCTGTTAGATTTGCAAAAAGTGTTGAAAACTGAGTGGAAGGCTGAGAATGAGTGTGTGGTTGTGCAGTTCTGGTGTTTGAGTGTCAGGTTTCAGAAATTGTGTGTCAAATGAGGATTCTGTGTGTAACGGTTGAAAACCTGTAATGGAGTGACTCAAGCGGATCGTCAGTGTTCAGATCCTCGTTTCCACAGATCGCTGACGAACATCCACACACATCAACCCAACCCTAACCCAACCAAAACACAATTCTAACCCAACTCTAACCCAATCATAACCCTAACCCAACCATAACCCAATTCTAACGCAACTCTAACCCAACCATAACCCAATTCTAACCCAACCATAACCCAACCATAACACTAACCCAACCCTAACCCAACCATAACCCAACCATAACACTAACCCAACCATAACTCAACCATAACCCAACTCTAACCCAACCATAACCCAACCAAAACACAATTCTAACCCAACTCTAACCCAACCATAACCCAATTATAACCCAACCATAACCCAATTCTAACCCAACCATAACACTAACCCTAACCCAACCATAACCCAACAATAACCCAACCATAACACTAACCCAACCATAACTCAACCATAACCCAACTCTAACCCAACCATAACACTTACCCAACCCTAACCCAACCATAACCCAACAATAACCCAACCCTAACCCAACACTGACACTAACCCAACCCAGACGCTTTTCGGTTCCTTGCCGCTGTTTCCTTTGGCTTGCTCAGTTGGGGATATTCAAATGAATGAACCAATCAGTAATCCCCTTGATCAGCTCTACCAAACGTGGATGTTTCCCACTAAGAAACGAACACTGTTATTATGTTTTGATTGATACTGTGAAGCTGCTCTGATGTGATCTATATTGTAAAGCGCTATATAAATATACTTGTCGTTGTTCCTCTCTTTATCAGCCTGTGCTGTGCAGAACACCGGGACTCTGGTCATCAGAAGCAAACGTCCTGCTATTAAAGTTCCTCTTTACAGACTCAAACTGGAGCAGATTATGATGTTTAAATGTAAAGATCCAACAATAAGATTTAATTGCTTTCATGCCCTGAAACAAAAACAGATTGAATCAACGTATAAAGCAGTGAGAGTTTCTTCTAAGGTGCTTCAGTGGCAGCGCTGGAGCGGGTCGAGTCGGGTGGAGTCGCGAGACCGCGAGCGAACCCGGCTATTAAACATCACTCAGGATCTCTGCGGCTCGCTTTAATATAGCAGACCCTCACACACACATCTGCACTCCACAACACACACACACTCCTCGTCCTCCTGACATCTGTCTCGGCTCAGAACAATACATCGATCTGTCTGACCCGCTGGCAGAGAGCTGCTCCTTTTCAGCACAAACTCACTCAGTTCTGATTGGTTTCTAAGAAAGTATCGTATTTCTCTTTTAAGAGTTTTTAGATGTTTAGAATTTGAAAAAATCACAGTCTCTAAAATAAAACTTCTTTATGGTTTCCATGAAGAGCCGTTAACATCCATTAATCTTTCCAATCCACAAAAGCTTCTTTATAGTGGAAAATCTTTCGATTATTAGTTTCTTTAAGAACTGGAAGCTTCTGTGGCCGAAACACCGCAAAACCCCTCCAGGAGCTTTTATTTTTACGAGTGTATAAAGAGATTTATTTGAAATAGAAAGGTACAAAAAACATGAAGATCTCGCAGCTCGGGTCCCGGAAAGGAGTGTGTGTCCTCCTCGCTGATGAAGACGAGGGTGATGATGTGTTTAATCAGGGCAGATCCCGGATATTCCTCTGAGCTGTTATGACTCTCACTGGAAGGAGAAAAGCAGCGGCTGATTTCAGTGAAAACACACACGCCTGACGAGGGAAAGTTTATCAGATGTGAGAACTGGGCGATGACATCACGGGCTCCTCCACAGCGGCCGTATATATATATGAACTATATTAATAACTCTATTACAGCAGAAATGAAGCATCACTGAACTCACGTCAGCTGGACTGACTCTTCTCTTCTGGACACACACTCGTTCTCCTCCGGTTATCTCCGACACACTCAGCGCTGTTAAATAAAGGAGACTCGAGCAGAAGGACAAACACTGAGGTTTGTGTAAACTAGACAGAGCAAGCCTGTGTTTGTCAGGTTATTTACGGCAGACTCTGTGGCTTATAGGTCGTGTTGAGCAAGAGGAAGGCAGGAGACATACACACATCTTGCTAACATTTCCTTAATGCAACTCAATTCACATGTATTTGTAGCGCTTTTCCCAACACACATCGTTTCAGAGCAGCTCCACATTACAGTTTACAGAGATCGCTCATCCGAGACCATATCTCAGAAATCTACAAATCACACTTTATTTCAACAATGTCAGCTCATTGAAGTAATCAATACTTAACAAACAAACGATTATGGTTAAGAAAAGTTATGAAAACTTTATTACTGTATGTTCTTTGAACGTTCCAGTTTTTAAAACGTTTAAGGAAACATTAACATTTTCTTAACATTAACATTACCTTTTGAATGTTCTCTGAAACAAGCATTAACATCCAACTAAAGACTATAAATGATGTATAAATACTGTTTTGAGGACATTATTAAAGAGCTTAGCATCACTGGAAGAACGTTTGTTCATAACTGGACGAGTTCGCGGAGGAGAGACTCGGAGATATTCTGAGATCCCGCCGGAGAGGAGACAGACGAGACGAGCCGAAGCTTTTCCACTGGAATCACGTAATTACATGCGATTAGAGGACACGCTCGTTTTAGCACACGCTGCTATTCCTGAATCTGACATTACTCTATGGAATATTTAAGAGTCTCGTGATGGGGTTATTTTCTCCAGTCACATGTTTAGAAACGCACTGTGAAGAGGATTGAAGGGTCAGGAAACATGTCCAGACGGATGAGATGGGCACACTGGTGTTGTGTTTCGCTGCGGTGTCCTGTCAAAGTCTGGATCATCTGCTGGTTCAGTTGGTCAACCGCCTAAGCCAACCGCTGACCAAGCCGGATCGTCCATGTAAAAGTTCCTTTGAACCTGATTTTTACAGTAGTCTAGATTAGGCCAAGTTGTAGAAACTGCTTGGAAAAGTCTCACTAGTATGATTCATTTTTGCTCACAGCATGTTCATGAAGTCAATTAAACAAACGCAATCAATGAAGTCACGAATCAGCACACGAATCAACACACGAATCATCAGAACACGAATCAGCAAAAGAATCAGAACACAATTCATCAGAACACGAATCAGCAAAAGAATCAGAACACGATTCATCAGAATATGATTCGGCACACGAATCAACACACGAATCATCAGAACAGGAATCAACAAAACAATCAACACACGAAACATCAGAACAGGAATCATCAACACGAATCAACACACGAATCAGCACACGAATCATCAGAAAACGAATCACCAGATAACGTATCAACAGAAAACGAATCATCAGAAAACAAATCATCAGATAACGAATCAACACACGATTCAGCACACGAATCATCAGATAACGAATCAACAAAAGAATCAGAACACGAATCATCAGAACACGCCAGTTCAGTACACACTCACCGATACACGCGTGTGTCCTGCTGTCCTGCTGCTGAAGGGAATCCCAGCATGCCACAGGCCACTCGACTGCAGCTCTGGTCCCAGCCCCACTCACACACCTGCCTCCATTTCCCAGCATGCTTCACCTCCACCACGCCCTCTGTTACCATGGCAGAGTTTCGTGTGGCGGCGCGAACGGGCCGGAGACGCACTTCCTCCAGCCGGACCGATGCAGTGAACTGAGAGAGAATACAAAAAGTTTGGGGTTTTTGTATTAAAAGCATCAGTATTTTTTATAAAAATTATTCAATTTAAATTCAAAATGATTCACAATTTCATGCATAACTCTTTTAATTCAGCTCAAACTATCTAACATTGGGTGTCTTTACTGGCCTCTAGTGGAAAAATAATAATTAACATGATATTTCATGACTCTTGCCACTAGATGGAGCAAACGAGCTGTTCCGCTGGGTCCTAAAGTCAGTTCGTTTCAGTTTCAGATACACAAGTAGACGTTCAAAAATATTTCTTTGGTAAAGTTTTAGCATTTTTAGGTTTGTCTATGTGTACTGAAGCATTCCTCGCCTCCTAAGGGGCTCAGATTGACCCGATTTGTTCCTTTTTTAAATTTCAACCTCAAAACGCCTCTTGGACTGCTCTGATGAACACTCAATTTAAAATAAAATTCTGGGTCAAAATGACCCGAGGAAAGGATGAGTTCTGACCTGCTCGTCCGTGTTGCTGAAGTCCAGATCCATCCTGTTACTCTGCTCCGGCTCCGGACTGTGAACCGGCTCTGGTCTCTCAGGAAGTCTGGTGTTCTGACTGCGTGTCACTTCCTGTGTGCGTCTGAACGCGGCCCGGCTGCGCAGGAAGTCCGGCAGCTGGTGTCCGCGGGGCAGGCCGTTAGCGGTGCTCTCGAGCCCGTTCCTGCGCAGCTGAATCCGGTGTCCGTGGATCTGAGGAGAGGACAGGCCCTGGCTGCTGCGTTGGAGCCCGATCTCGTGGCCACGCTGGTGGGGAGAACTGGCGAGAGCATTCGAGACCAGCCTGGAGGGCTGAGGTGGAGAAGCTGGACTCGATTCTTGGTAACGTGGGATGTGTCCCTGGTTGGGACGGTCCGGACTGCAAATGATGCCCAGATCTTCCGCGTGAGTGCAGTCGCTCACACCCCAACCGTTAGACCGGCAGTCCGACAGTGAGCTCTCGCCGCCCGAACACGAGACGTTATCCAGCCAGATCGGACCTGAACACATGGAGAGCCATTTAAACACTGACAGCAATATGAGCTAAACAGAAGACAATAGTGTCCTTATTCAGAATCAGTTCTAGATCACATTATCATCAGGATTTGAAATGATCACCCGCCGGGTAAATATCGAGCCAATTTGGCAGGTTAGGTGTTGACCAAATCTTTAACACAAATACTCAACTCATGAGTCATCATGATATATGAAATACACTATATTGAGTAAAATCTGCTCATATCTGGCTTCCTTGACTGAAGCATTAAAAAGCATTTGGTTAACAGAAAAGACATTTTTAATTTACAATATATCCTACATTTTTCGTTTGTTCTTTGTACTGTATTGATCTGTCCACCTAAAGTATGTTTTTGTAGAAAAGGATGAGGATGAAAGAGGAAGGGAGGAGATGGCTGGAATGGATGACAGGATTTTGTTTAAATGAGAAGTTAATGTCATGTGTTACACTGGTATTTCCTCAGGAAAACACTGAAGTCTCCGATTTTAGATACAAAACTCAAAGTTTAATAACAGGACTCTGGAAGAAGCTGACAGGCAAGCACAACAGAGATTGGACAAAGACTGAAACAAAGAGTGCTTCTTAAATAGCAAACAGAAACGAGATAATTAATCATACGCAGCTAGGACGAATGAACTCATAATGATATTAACTATAGAAACGAAGGAATGGCGGGAAAAGAACAAAGGAAAACAGGAACCAATCAAAACACAAACCGGAATTCCAAACATGCACTGTCACGTGACGTGACAGTATGAAATACACATTTTTTGGATGGTATTTTATTATAAATGTATAAATATATATATATATATATATATATATATATATATATAGCTGTGACATCATTTATCTGGTTTATTTCTGTATTGTTTTTTGGCTAGTAGAAGTTCTGAACTTGAAAATGTAGAAGCCAAATTGGCAGGTGAGTGAAAAAGTTCATTTCAAACCCTGATTCTAATGACTTTTATGGAAACATGAATGTCTGATCTTACCGCGTCCCTCGCCGAACTTTGCGCTGTGAGCCCAGGTGAGTCCGCGAGAAAAGCCCAGTTCTCGACACACGACATTGGCCAGATTGATGTTGACCTCGTCGTCACACACGGTTCCCCACTGGCCGCTATAAAACACCTCCACGCGACCCTCGAACTTGCTCCTGCCGCCCACCAGACGCACCTGGACTCCCGGAGCGGCGAGCCAGAGCGGGGCGAGGGCACTGAGGACCAGCAGCTGGAAGAGCATCTCGGATCCTGAGGATGAGTTCAGAAGCCAACCTTCTCCAACTAATTACACCAAAACACAGATCAGAGAAGGGAAATACACCACAGTTTAACCAGAAGTGAAGAATGCAATTGTCTTTGGTTTCCAGGCCAGCACAAATATCTAAACATCCTTAACCCTTTGGTGCTCTTCGACGCTCTTCCAAAAAAAGAAAAATAAATAAATAAACGTAACGGTAGGTTTTGGCACTTGCTGTGTAAACACAAAAAAAACCATGGACATGATTGGAACAGGTTTAATGGTCCTGAATAACAGTCACACTCGTGCTTTTGGCGGCCAGAAACGGTGCATTGGAATCGAATTGGAGACGAGTTTGCTCTAGTGGAAGCGTTTGGAACTGCAGCCGAACTCACATACTCGTTAGATATCAGGATAAGATTTGGAACACAACTGGTTTAGATTTATGGCTTTGATTTTCTCACAGTTTTAGAGTAAAATATATTTTTGAAAATATATATTTCATATAAAAATGTTAACTTTTTGCACATTTTTCATAACAATAAACGTACAATTCTATAACTAAAAGTTAACTTTTAAAAAATTTTTTGACTTCAGCAATAATCTGCAGAGTGTCGTCTTTGAAAAGAGATTCAAGTCGCTTTCAAGACTTACAACAGGTTAAGTTGGAAATTTAATTTTCAGGTCTACGCTCAAAATGTGAATAAATAGATTATAAAAACAGCGGAAATATTATTTTGTACCATAAATTCCCCTAAAAATACAAAAAACATTAATGAACTAAAATATAGTACATTAATTGCATTGAAATAAAATAATAAATGTCAGGTTTTGACCGACACGTGAAGAGCACCAGACACTGGAGATCAGATCAGTCTTGCTACTGAAAAATGAAGAGTGTAAATATCTGTTAGTGGGCTCAGAAACAATCTGGTTTTTCCTTTGAATTAAAAATCAGACTCTGTTGAAAGTTGTTTCATGTTCTAAGCACTTTATTTTGATCAGTTCATCAGAAAAAAATACTTATTTGTACTGTAAAACAGGCAGAAATAGGCTAATGAGGAAGAGCATCATTGCCATTGATCTGAAATCCCAGCGTGTGTGTATCAGTGGTCTGAGAGGCCGTCATCGTCACATTTACAGATGTGTGTTGTGTGTTATATATCAGCAACCAGAACAAAACCACAGGCGTATAAACCCACACACACACATTCCTCTGAAACACTGATAATTAGCGCTGAGAACGGCTCTAAAGGCCACAGAGAGTGAGAATTAAAGCGGTACAACCTTCTGTCTTCATTTAGAAGATGTTGAGACATGTCTGATTTTGTTTTGTTTTTTCATACGTTGAACGTTAATGGATAGTGTTGCTTAATGCCGAATATTCTTCAAATTATCTTTATGTTCAGCAGAAGAAAGAAAGTCATGAGGCGAGTGAATGATGACAAAATAATCATTTTTTGCCTGAACTGTTTCTTCAACTTTAAAAAGAGTGAGAGATTTTGATGCTCAAATAGACTATAAATCATCCTAGTAAATCCAATAAAAACTGAGACACAGAGAGATGAGAGAAAACGATCAGAGAAACAGCTGATAAAGAACTTCATATCTGTGAATCCCTGAGATCATTAGAGGAATGAGAGGCTTTACACTCACCTGTCCGAGCAGACGAGAGCAGGAGAACGACTGAGAGTGTGTGAGACGGAGAGAGAGAGTTAAACCTCTGACCACAAGCTGCTCTCTCTCTCTCTCTCTCTCTCTCTCTCTCTCTCTCTCTCTCTCTCTCTCTCTCTCTCTCTCTCTCTCTCTCTTTTCTTCTGGTTTATGTAAAGTCAAGCGATTTTTTTCACTGAATCGTTTCATAAAGTGCACTTTTAAAGAGACACACTCACTCTGAAACACATCAACTCAACATGCAGCACTATTTAAAAATTTTTTTGACATATTTTTCACTTTGATGGAGGTCAGAAGATCAGAGACGTAAAGGAGGCGAACACATCGCACAGGAAAACACAAAAACACATTGGCAACGTTGTTTCAAACCAGCTTTGGGTCAGATATGGACAAGCTGTTGAGTTCATATTTTTTTTTTTTTTTTTTGGGATTTGTCCAAATTTGACCCAACATTGGATTAAAACAACCCGCAACCTTGAGTTAAGGTTCTCTCAGAGTTATAAAGAAACTTTATTCCTGTAATATTACATTAACTCTTATATAGTGGACTTTTAACTCTTTATTAACTCTTAACTTATCTGGTCTTTAATAATGTTCTCAAAACATTATTTATACATCGTTCATGGAACATCTTCCTGAAACATTTCAGGTTTCATCTGTTTTTTAAGTGTTACATTAAAAAGTAACATTCCCATAATGTTTGAAGAATGATACATTTCCTTAAAGTTCACATATCCAATAAAAATGTTTCATAAAGTACTTAAGAACACAAAAGGTTCATCTGGGACGGCGGCTCCCTGAACCCCCTGAGAACAATCTCTGATCTATATGTGTGTGGGTTTATGATGTGTCATCGGCTCCTCGGTGTGTGTTTGTGCTGTGATTGAGCTGGCACGCGTCCACACCCAAAATGAGTGTGTGTGAGAGAAAAGAACACGTATTCTCTCCAGCGAAGAGCAGATGCTCACGGCTCACGTCCTACATGTTTCCATCTCAAACCCTTTCATAACGGCACGAGACGTGTGCGATAGACTGACATCACACACTTCAAACTCAATGACTCATTTATACGCCACCGCAGACGAGGGGTCTTAAAAGTGATGCAGACTATTAATGGAGCCACAGATGCAATAACCAGCCTTTCTTCTTTAAGTCATTTGTATAAGTAGCACTTAAAATGAATGATTGTTCCATTTGATGTCTTGAACAGCAGGGTTATGTTGGTGGTGGTGGCGTCCTCTACTGGTGACTGCAAATCTACACTCATTATTCAACAATGCTGTGTTTTTAATGTGACTCGTTTACAGTGACGCTTCACCGCAGAATAAACGAGGCTCAGCCCGTTTTAACAACCTACGACTGCAAACGCCACTCAACGTGACCCATTGAAAGACCGTACGGACTTCTTCAAATCCTCGTAACATTTGACGCTGTTGCAAAGATAAGAAGAGATCTGTGCATATGAAGTAGCCACACAGTTCAATAAATACAAACATACATAAACTGCTGTAGGATTATTAATATATTAAAGGTCCTATATGTAACTTTTTTAATAACATTAATCATTTTTTTATTGCCTGTGTTTGGTTTATAATTTTGGCCCCATTCAATGTATTGTTGGCTATTGCCACAAATATACCTGTGCAACATGTGACTGGTTTCCTGGTCCAGGGTAACATATTAGAATAGATTAGAAGTCAGTATAATAAACAGAAACCAGACTCAATTCAATTCATGTCTTTATTTGGAATTACATGAAAGTGTTTTGGCTTAGAAACATAAACATTTCTGAGTGAAAACACATGAAAATGAGACAGTACATGATTACAGTAATTGTCATTTTTCAAACAATACTCTTAAGTTTATTTCTGCTGGAGAATCAGATGTTTAGTGTTCATCAAAAGTTTAAACACTTGCCGCTGGTTTTGAGTGGTTTCTAGATGGTTTGTTCAGGTTTGGCAGGGGAATATTGTAGGTCATTCTAGATACAGTTACAGCGATTCTTGTCTTAAGTTGACTAAACAGCCTGGCTCCTGAATCCTGAACGCAGCAAAAAGGTCGTGGCCCTCAGGAAAATCTGCATCAAACATGTACAAGAGTTTCATCCTTGGGCTCAAACTGTAGAAGCAAACAGAACGAGCCTCCCGGTCCAGGAACACGCCGAGCTTCCTAAAGGACTCTGCTTGAACTGATACAGTTTTCTGGTTGTGATGAGCTTCACATACTCTATCTGAGCAATATAAACTCCATGACATCTCATTGCGTCCAAGACATACTCGATCACTTGCTCCCTTTCTCTCGATTCCCCCACAGGCCACGCCCACGTGCAAGTCTGGCCCAATCACATCCACCGCAAAGAAGCTGCGCTCTGACAGCGCCGGGCGGCACAGGACCTGGTTGCACAAGTCAAATCTCTCGGCATTATCTGGAAATTGCTGTTTCTGCTTCTGATGAGTGGCCACAGTGTTGTTCTTGTTCAGATGGAGGTGTTCGTTAGCCGTCTGAGGGTCAAAGGTGAGCGTAACAGCGTCTAAAAAACAGATTTATTAGATTAGCACCAACAATTATCAAGTGGTTCCCATGCATGTGGGTAGATGACATAATGTACTTCTAGAAAGTCGTGTGCTTTTGGTCTGTTTCTATGTTTTATTCTGTTCTGGACCGTGTTTGTTTTTTCTCCCGGACGAGCCCCCAATTTCATGTTACGCCATGTCTAGGTCAAAGGACAAACATCGTCTCTTTTTTTTTTCCATGTTACGTCCTTTGACCTATATGGGGGATAACATGCTTTTTTAAAATAATTTGAGATGGAATAATTCATTCATAATTACACTGGCAGGTTTTTATGAACTAGATTTTAATTTAGAGAAACACATGAAATATCCGCAAGTCTACAAATTTACAAACCAATAGTAAAGGTGTTAAAACCGGTGGTAAAGCAGTTACAGCATCTACAAATACATATCAAATTTGAACCTACAATCTTGATACTGATTTGAAAACATTAATGAGCATGTTTAAACTCACATTTGTAGAGTCCTGGTAGTAGACTGCAGACTCCAGTGGATGTTCTAGTCAGAGAAGAGTGTTAAGAGTAAGACCACACTGTTATACAAGAACTTTTTTAAACATGAATATTATACACTGATACTGGATAACAACATAACCTTATACAACTCATACACTAAACAAGTCCATTTGGGACACAAGTCATGCTACAGTACCTCACTGAGCACAGGGACTCATCCTTTAGAGTTTCCTGTACGATGTTTCCAAGATTATTATACCGCAGATCCAGCTCTTTCAGAGATGAAGAATTGGCTTTCAAAGACGACATCAACTGATGAACTCCTCCTTGAATCTGACAGCCTGAAAGTCTATAAAGAAAAAGCAGATCAGCATATTCTCCCTTTTTCTGCGTTTATTTATCATTGTCTATTTGTTCATACTTTATTACTGACAGTTTACTTGTCTTTAATGATGTTTGAAATGTATATTAGTTAGGCGAGTAGATCTTGAGGTATTGAAATTTTGGTATTGAAGTCTTAACCTTACATAATAGAACACAAGGTTACATGGATTAAAAAACAATTAAAAAACAAATAGTTTTATTAATTTGTGGTGGGCCCAAGTTAATTTGTTAACCATTGGCCCAGTAGAACAAATCCTTAGCGATGAGCCCTGGTTAGTTTGACTTACTTCAGAACTTCAAGATGACATTTCGTGCCCTTCAGTCCAGATGAGAGTATCTTCACTCCTGAATCACCTAGAGGATTGTCGCTGAGCTCCAGCAATCTCAGATTCATATTTTCTCCTAAAAGCACATCCCTGATCAGCTCCATGTCTTGACTCTGGAGGTCATTGTGGCTGAGGTTCAGGGTCTGAATCTGGCAATTGGGATCACAGAGCGCCGTGGAAAGATGGTTCAGAGCGGACCGTCCCAGATCGTTGTGACTCAGGTCAAGATGAATCAGGTGAGAGTTTGGTGACCTTAGGTAACGCGTCAAGACATCACAGTGCTGCTCTGTAAATCCGCTTCCTTTGAGACTGTCAGTATTACATTCAAACGCACATTCAGTTTTAAACAAGAACTTTACATGATACATTTTAAAGATATTTACTGCATCTTAATACTTACAGAGCCTTTCTGAAGCATGTGATGGCTGGGGAGAATCTCTGAAACCCTTCTAACGTGATGTTGTATTTCCTGAGGTCAAACTCATCGTGATTCATATCTGACATTACAAACTGGTAAGCCAGAAGCGAGCACTGGAACTGTGTGAGGGGCTCTTTGGACCGTGAGCGTTCGAGATCTCGCATCTCCTGCAAAAATGACTTGTCCTTGAGCTCAACGAGACAACGAACAAGACTAATGCATCTCTCAGAGGACAGGCCTTTCCTCTTCAAGGACTTGATGTACGTGGTCACCTTCTTGTGATCATCTGAAAGACTGACCCATGATGGAGGCAGGAGTCCTTCAAGTAGATCTCTGCTGGAATCGCAAGAAATCCCAAAGAGAAAACAGATAAAAAGATCCAAGTGTCCATTTTTACTTCGCAAGGCCTCATTAATCTCATCTATGAGAATATCACAAAATCTAGTCTTTCTCAAGATCTTTCTCTTTTTGGCTGTTTTTGAGTCTTGATTTCCTGATAGAAATGTGTGAAATTTAAACAAGGCTGCAAAGAATTCCTGGACACTGAGATGGATGAAGGTGAAAAGTTTTGTCCTCATATATCCACATTTGTTCTCTGTGACACAGGTAATGACACCGGGATATTGATGCGCTTCATCAACAGTGATGTTACATGTCTTCAAGTCTTCTTCTCTGAAGATGACATTCTGTTCCATCAGCTGCCTGTGTGCCAGCTCTGCCAGTTTCATAATCAGATCTTTGTGCTGCTTGAGAGCGTCTTGTTGTGACAGTTCTGCCCCTTGATATTTTTCATGGCTCAACCCGGTCTGAATGAGCAGATAGTGGATGTACATTTCCGTCAGATTTGAGGGCATGTTCCTATGTTTATTTTGTCTTGTAATTATGTCTCTAAGAACAACCACTGAAATCCAACAAAACAGAGGTATGTGGCACAGTATCCACAGGCTCTTTTGAGACTTCAGGTGACAGATGATGTCTTGGGTTAGCTGTGGATCCTCGAGGTGCCTCTTGAAGTACTCCTCCTTCTGCTCATCTCTGAATCCTCTGATCTGTGTGATGTATCCACGTAAGAAGATCTTCTTGTCCAGCTGTCCAGCTGCGACGGGCCGGCTGGTGATCCACAGGCGAGCGGATGAAAGCAGATTTCCTCGTAAAAGGTTTACTAGAAGGACATCCACAGTGGCTTCTGTAGTTACATCTGACAGAAGTCTGCTTTGAAAGTTCAAGTCCTTTTTATATTCATCCAGACCATCTAAGATGAGCAGAACTTCCCTATCACAGATCCATTCAGAGATCGGTCTTGCCTCTTTAAACTCAGGGTAAAAGTCACAAAGCAAGTCAAATAGACTCTTTTCTCCTTCGAGCAAGTTCAGATTTCGGAACGGCAGCAGAAACACAAGATCTAGATTTTGATTGGCTTCTCCGTTCGCCCAGTCAAGGACAAACTTCTGTACGGTGATCGTTTTCCCAATTCCAGCAATTCCTTTAGTTAAAACGGTCTTCATGCTTACATTTTCATTTATGCGTGGCTTAAAGATGTCATTGTAGTTTATGTGTCTCTGAGCTGATGCGTTTGAATCTTGTGTCGTCTCCATCTGCCAGATCTCATGTTCTCTATTGATGGGGTCAGACTCGTCATCGATGATAAACAGTTCAGTGTAGATCCTGTTTAGAGAGACCGCCTGTGGTATACTTCCCTCAAAAGTCCTCTCAGCGTCAGGCAGCATTCTTGATTTCATCTTATTCCTCACATTCTGGAGAATTTCTAAAAATCAGGACAAAGTTGGAAAGTCTTTTTACTAACAGGAGCATCACGCTTGTGTTCTGCAACAAGATATCTTACCATTTTTGTTTACTGAGGTAGAGGGAGGTTCCATGGACTGAAAAATAAAACAAAAAATACTCATACTTAAATATATATAACATACACAAAACATGTCTTAAATGACCAACTGTTTAAATGATCAGACACTCACCACATTTATGTTAACATCCTGAGCATTGTTTCCTACAATGTTTGGAGCAACTATTAACCCACCATTCTCCTGTCTAATTGTGAGGTTATGCTGGTCAAGGTTCTGAATTGATGGTTGCCTGAGTGATGTAGAATTATTATTATTATTATGCTGTTGTTGTTGAAGGTTGTTTGGCTGATGAAGTGGCATGTTTCCGTGATCTGTTTGAACACTGTCACCATCTGTTTGAAAAAATTAACAATTAAATACACAACCAAACCCATACCATGTACATATTATAGTAAAGCTCACTGAAGATTGAGAAACCTATTGGCAACTAAGAAAGTAAATTATAAATATTTTCCTACTTGTGATATGTTTTTTTTCCTTCATTTTTTTCACTATGGACTTGATCCTTTTGAATGCATTTTTCTTTCCATATTTTTTCTTTAGTTTCTTTACTGTGTCTTCCAAGCTCCCCGTTGTTCTTCTCCGGCTGTGTTAAGCAAAGACAAACAGTTAGAACAATAAGATGTATGTACAATAGCAAAAATAAAGTTGGTCATTAGTTTTTAGGGTTAGATACACCTGTTTTCATTTAGCATACACAAGAGTTTAAACATTCACTTTTTCAAAGGCCAGATAAGCTAATAAATATGGCAACCAAAGTCAAACAGAGAAAGGCAGCTAGAAATAACAATATTCTTTGTATATACCAATTCAAAGTCAATGCATCAAAAATCTTTTTTCGAATTGCCTGAAAAACCTCCTCATGCGAGTGTAAAAACTTTTTTGCGATAAACGGGAGTTTTTGTGAAATCTTGTTTCCATTGAGCGTATTTTCATTTCGCAATTTCAATTTGCGCAAATTGAAGGGTAATGGAAACGCAGTCTACACTAGTGACCGCGACGCTGAAACGTGTAAAAACAGATGAATAACATCAGTACGAAACACGAACATTTATTTATTTGGATTAAATACTGTAATCATTTAGTGTCGTTTTTCAATGTCAATCATTTTACAATTACATGTTCATGCCCAAAATGCTTAATTAATATTCAGAGAAGTTGACTGCATGTCATTCTAGCTGCGGGCGTTCTGATCGTAGGCACCTCGCGATCATTCATTCATTAAAATATTTTAAAAAGACAGGAATAAAGCACCAATGCACACTTTTTATTAGTCAAATTCATTTAAAAAAATGTAAACCCAAGTATAGAATATAAGTAGGCTAATATTGTTGTTAATGAGAAGACAGAAGACTACTGCAGGTTAGTGGATAAATATATTTAGCCTATTTATTATTCAGAATCAAACAGTTAGAAAGAAAATATATTTATAGGAACATTTCAGCAGACTCAAGATAATTAATACAGAGATCGTTATTCATTGTTTTAATTAATTGGCATCCATAAAACGTAGTGAATCTGCATTCTCATGTAGGCTATGGACGAACGATGAACACTACCGGAAACTCCCTTTACAAGATTATATCAAAGCAGCTTCACAGTGATAACATGAAAATAATACAACACCGATCAATAATATTGTTAAATATTAAATGTCCCGAGTGAGTGAGAGAGAGAGTCTGGTGCTCACTGCTCAGTCATACTTCAATGATATGAAAATATAAAATATTTTTCACTAAATGGCTATTTTTTTCTATTCTTTAATCCAAAATATAAAAATGTTTAGGTACATGACCACAACAACCATAAAATATATATTTTTTTTCTTACAATTCAAGCTCTGGATACTGCGTCACTCCCACACACTTCATCAACCACACAACACACACATCGCATAATATCACCTGCTCAAGAGCTTGTTGAGTTTCTTCTGTAATGAATAGCGAATCTTCTCATTAAAATATTCGCAAGATCTCAGGAATCCTCTGAAACTGCTCGTGTTCACGCGCTCCATCGCTGCACTTCTCTCTCTCTCTGTGTGTGTGAGCATAGACAGTAAGTGTGTGAGACTATCTAGTCTAGTCTAACCGCTCAAACTTCAAACACAAAGTCGCAAACAGCAAAAGCGCGCCAACAGCAGACAGGACAGCAGCGCCATAGCCATAATAAATACATAGACGCCCTATTGGCCGCTGGAGCGTACGTCAACGGCGCCGCCATATTGGGGAGAGCAACTTTCCCATCCCTCTCATACCGGGAATTGAGAAAAATGCCTGTTTTGTGCGCTGCTTGGGGCTATAAAAATCGCCACACAACTGAAAACAGCTTTCGAGGAAGTACCTTTCACAAGCAAGACTGAACGTTTGTTTTTGGTTGTATTTGGTCATGATTTAATTGGTAATAGTAACGTTTAGAGGTTAAATACTACTGTTATGTCACGAAATGTAGTTTTAATAGTTTTTCAGTCGACAATGTAGTTGTTTAAAGATCGAATATGTGGTTTGTTTATAAAGATAGTGCCTATTTAAAAATTTGATCCGAAGTTTTCGGAGTTGTAACTGCGCCCGCGCCCAGCGCTCGTCTCCCCCGCCTGGAACAGCCGTACCTCGGCCAGTGCTTCTGACGGTTGCCGCTGGCTCGGATGTCTCTAGTCTAGAGGTTAAACATGAGATATAATTCGTGTTTATCTTTGCTCTCATTGATCTATAAATGGTTCTCTGGTAAATAGTTTTGGCTGAGGGAAAAAGTAAAGTTTCATAACTTTATTTAGGCTATTTTAACATTGTATCCTGCTGTATGTTTGACTGAAGTTACTTCTGTTATAATGGCTAGCCTATTACTGATCAATAAAACTGAAATTTAACACAAAGAGCTAAATATTAAATATACTGTATGTCACTATTTAACTTATTTTTGTGTGTGTGTATTCTGTAGTTGAAATGTCTTATTCTATTGATATTATTATAGCTTTATTAATAAACTATACTATCAATATTTTTATATAATTATACTAGTATTCATTACCATTTTATTTGCTGTATACTATTTGTTTATTTTATTGACTAAACTATTTACTATTACTTCTCACTTTACGTTAATTACTATTTGCATTGCACTGTATGCCCAGTTGTACCACAACATGTATTATCATCAAGGATTCAGTTATCAATGTTATTGCTAAAATCTGGTCAATCACATAAAATGCTTTTTCCACAATGAGCAAACTTAAATATCTCAGTATGGGGGTCTTCACCATTCTTATCCAAGAACGTTTTTATCCAGAAAAACGCTGCTCACCCGTTTACTTACATTTAAGTACAGTGCAGTCTTGACCTCCGCAAAATGGCGGACCCGTTGACGTATCGCAGCAACGTTCCAAAGCGGCCAATAGGGCGTCTATGTATATATTATTGTCTATGAGCAGCGCAAGGATGTTCTTCTTCTGGTGTTTAATGGCGGATTGGCAGACCAACATGGTGCATTCCCGCCACCTACTGAGTATATACACTGTGTGGAGTATACTTGGCATTGGAAGAAAAAAAAATTACAGTAATTCTATTTATTATTCCAGTTTTATTTAAATATTAATTAGTGAATTATTGATTCGTGAATTATTGATTCGTGAATCTTGACCCATTTCCTAACAATACTTTTATTGAAATTGTATCAATTCCCATCCATTGTAGCTCTTTGTTGTCTCGCCCATTCATATGCAGGACATTATAAAAGAATATGCTGCACTGTTTCTATATAGCGCGGAGATGTGACGTGTCGAGAAAAACACTTTCGATTCACTTAAATTTTTTTATATTAATTTCCACCTCAGCATCTGATGATTCCGCTATTATAGTTCCTGTATTCCTTTATGACTCTGTTTTTCGGTTCAGCGCATTAATATCAAATTAGAGATTTTATTGTTTCACACGTACATTCAATCCAATCAAGTACAAAATACTTTTCTTTTTTTGACCAAAAAATATTTGTGTTCGAGACGAGCGGCTCCAGAGGGAGATCATCTGCTGACTGGAGAATCACATCAGGATCATTTTAAAATGAAAACACATACGCAGACTGCTTGCATCACATTCACTTTTTTTTTTTAAATATGAGCATTCATGTTCTTTAAATTGTGATATTTTGGAATAGTGAAAATTAAGCACTTCTTCAATTCACAGTTGCTCTCTGTAACATGGAAAAAGTGATGAACCTTAACTTAAACATGACAGTTTATATCACTAATATATATATACTCAATTTATTCAATTAAAAAGACCATTGTTGTGAATATAAGTGTGTGTGTGTGTGTGTGTGTGTGTGTGTGTGTGTGTGAGAGAGTGAGTGTGTGTTGATCCGCACAGACACTGAAGGATCTCAGACTGGAGAGTTTCTGCTGTTATAGAGGTGATGATGATGATGATGATTTATATGGAGGCGATCTCTTGTGTTTCGCTGCTCAGCTCTTCAGATCTCAGTCTATAAGCCTCCAGCGTCCCAGAATGCCCTGCGGCTGCTTAGCTCCAGCGCACCAGGATGCTGTCGCCGTCCTGCACGGAGTAAAACTGCAGCGGCTTCAGATCGTTGTCGATCTCAATCTCTCGACCCGCCAACTATAGGACACACATCACAACAGTAATACAGCGATCAGTGTTGCAGACGCCTGAGGTTAGCATTAGCTGGGAGGGTGGGGTCGTGACCTTTGCGCAGGTGTAGCTGAGCTTCAGTCGGACTGCAGGGAGTTTGAGCTGTCGGTGTAAAAGCCCCTTCACCTTCTGAACGATCATCGACTCTGAAAACAGCATAGAAACACTTCAGACAGGTGTGTGTGTGTATGAACACTCACTCTCTCTCACACACACACTAACCCGACCCCTAACCCTGCCCATCACACACACACACACACACTCTGTTCACCTGGCAGCTTCTTCTCAATGGGCTTCCTCCCAGCATCCTCTGGGCACAGGAAGGTCACGGCTGAAAGAGAGAGACAGGCGATGGTGAGCTGACGCTCCAGTGAGTGAGTGAGTGAGTGAGTGAGCGAGTGAGAGAGAGTGAGTGAGTGAGCGAGTGAGTGAGTGTGTGAGAGAGAGAGTGAGTGAGTGAGACAGTGAGAGAGAGAGAGAGAGTGAGTGAGTGAGAGTGAGTGAGCAAATGTGAGTGAGTGAGTGTGTGAGAGAGAGAGTGAGTGAGACAGTGAGAGAGAGAGAGAGTGAGTGAGTGAGTGAGTGAGAGAGTGAGTGAGTGAGAGAGTGAGTGAGTGAGTGAGTGAGAGAGTGAGAGAGTGAGTGAGAGAGTGAGTGAGTGAGTGAGTGAGTGAGAGAGTGAGTGAGTGAGTGAGCGAGTGAGAGAGAGTGAGTGAGCGAGTGAGTGAGTGAGTGAGACAGTGAGAGAGAGAGTGAGTGAGTGAGAGAGTGAGTGAGAGAGAGAGTGAGAGAGTTCATATGATAATGCAGATTCATACTTAATAACTGGTGTTTCAGAGCGAAGGGTTTCTGTTCTCTGAGCTCGCCCTCATCTGGAGCGCCGTACTCTGACACACACACACACACACACACACACACACACACACACACACACACACACACACCATCAGCGGGTTTCTCCTCATCACTGAATGAAAACAGTGTTCAGAAATGCATGAACGGCCAATAAGATCATATCTGAAGTTTAATATTCAACAGAGCACAACAGTCGCTTCCGGAAGAGAGGAAATCAAACCTTCAGAGCCGACTGAGCTGTTTATCGCTTCGGTTCAGTCAGCGTGTGTTATTTCAACTTTTTATATGAAATAATCATGTTTAACAGCAGAATTCCTGAAGAAAAACTACATTACCCATAATGCTGTGCAGAAAATCCCACCAATCAGAGTCGCAATTAGAAAAACACACTTAAAGATCTATTTAGCTCCGCCCATTCCCATAAAGCGCCGGGAGTGATGTCATCTAGTCGATCTCCACGCTCTCAGAAAACTGAAATGTTTGAATTATGCATGTTTTGCTGTAACATTAAAATATATTGTTTTTATATATAAAATCAACATTTTTAAATGAGCAGATTTCTATTGTTCCATTGTTATTAACCCGGTTGTGCGGTTTGCAATGCATCATGGGATTGCAGTTGTGAGATCAGAGTTTGTGATGTTATGATCATGGCTAATAAAACTTCAACAATGTCTTTTTTTATCCTTTATGGGAGAAATGAATGCAAAAGTGTTTTTTATGATTTTTTACTTTTTATTATAAAATTATTTAAATATTATTTTGATTTGACATTTTTTCTGATTTCTTCATTTTTTCTAAGTGGCTTATTTTTTATCATTTTAAATGATCCATTTATTTTTTTTATGACTTTTTAGTAAAAGTTTTCCTACACTTCCGGAACCAACGGCTCTGGTAAGGGGGCGGGGACAGAGGAACCAATCAGATCCCCTGTGGGCGGAGCTTCTGCTCGGGGGCGTTCCCACACAGAAACGGCAGTGTGATGCGAGACTGACTGTGTATGAGCGAGAGGAAGCGTGGGTGATCCGACAGGAAGTGTGTGTTCAGCTTCTCCGGGTCACTGACGCCTCCGGCCCGAAGCCACGCCGACCCGAACATCTTACAGTAATCCAGCTCCGCTCCCCGCCTCTCGTCACTCTCCACCTGAACACACACATCACTCAACATCAGACACACATCACACACACACACTCCACCTGAACACACACACACACACACACACCTTTCTCATGTCCAGCAGCGTCAGGCGTCCCAGCCGAGCGATGATGATCTGACGAGCCGTTTCCGGGTTCTTCTCCTTCTGAAGCAGAGGATTCCTGCGACACGACAGATGAACGAGAGAACGCAGCTTCTCCAGCTCGTTCACCACACACCACTACACACACACACACACACACACACACAACCCCCGTTAAACACTTCCGTTAACCAGAGGAAATAAACACTAGATGTAAGAGGCGCTGGTTGTTTGACCTCTGAGATGTTGTTGTCGTCTAATGACAGAGTCTTCAGTGCCGGGAACGCCGCCGTCTCGTCGCCTCCACAGGAGAGAGTTATTAATCCTCACACACACACACACACACACACACACACACACGGTCATGTGACCTGCTGTACCTGCTGACGCATCGCTGAAGTGAACCGCAGAGAAACCAGTACTGGACAGATTCAGCTTCTCCAACCTGAAGATCACACACACACACACACACACACACAACTGATTACCATCATACACACCTGATGACCATTACAACACACACACACACACACACCAGGGTAAGTGTGCGAGCTCCAGAAGCGTCTCCTGCCGGATCGGGTTTTCGGACAGATCCAGAACTCTGAGATTGCGCAGCAGAGCATCAGGTCTGATAAACAAGGATCATCATTAATAATTAGATCAGATTTGCATTAATAATCACATATAAAGGAAAGCCTGATGAGGGAATCATCCGTACCTCGTTAACTCTGTGATGTCGTTATCAGAGAGATAGAGCTCCTCTAACTGCGGCCACATGGGGGCGCACTGGAGAACCTGCACAGGGGTCAGAGGTCAGAGGTCACAGCTGACACTCTCTCTCACACACACACACACACACCTCACCTGAGTCCAGGTGAGTGCGCAGCTGTTGAGTGACAGCAGTGTCAGACAGGAGAAGGCGGGGCTTAAGAGGCTCGGGTCGCCGGAGAGACTCAATCTATTGTGGCTGAAGGAAGAAATTATTCCAGAATATTCCGGTTATCACGAGATTCACACACACACTGAATAAAACCACAGGACACGGAACCTTAAATTAAACCAAAACAGTCGATTCTTGTGCGTTTATGCAATGCTGTAAATGATTTATAGGTGTTTTAATGTTCAGTTCCTCTGCAGCATCTCTTCTCTGATGACGAGGGCGGGGCTTTAACCTGTCACTCACAGGAGATCAGCCAATAGCAAACCACAACCATCCAATCAACTCCCCACAGACACGATCAAGCCCCGCCCACGGGCGTTTCACTCGATATACGACACAATAGAGGAGAAGTGTTTGGAGTCAGGTGTGTGTGTGTGTGTGTGTGTGTCACCTGATCTGCAGCTCCCGCAGGGACTCCAGTTGAGCCGTAATGGCCGCCAGAACCTCCCATGAGGCCAGCAGATTCCCCGACAGATCCAGAGACTCCACATCTGGCCGGCGCGGTTAAAGAAGCGCGCACACACACACACACACACACACACACCTAACCCTAACGCTGTAACTAAGCCGGCGCTCAGGGAAGGATACGAGGCGTGGTGTCCCTGATCTGGTTCTGCGGGCCCGGCCCGGACACCTCGCATCTCCTCAGACACACTTCAGTCAGCTGATCCATCCTGGAACACAGCCACAATCCTCACACACGTGCTCTGGCTTTATTTATTTATTTATTTTAATCTGGCTTTATCCAATGTTCAGATTTGCTGGAAGTGTATACTTAATTAGATCACAGCTCATTTGCATATCATTTCATAAAACCTGTAACACTAAACACCTTACATTTCTTTGTTCCGCACTCGCTCGAAGCCGACCATGACGACGGTCCTGCTGGAGACCTGCATCTCTTCTCCCTCATCCTCGTAGCGGCGCTTCACAGCCGTCACGTAATCCACCCCGAACTGGGCCTTAGCGGGCCGCACGAACGAGCCGCCGGTCCGGTGTCTGGACACAGGGACACACGTCAGCCGACCCGACACTCACTCACTCACACACGTCACATGTACTGTTGTCTTCGGTACCAAGTCGATGCTGGAATTTTCAAATGTGAGGCTTTGAGCTGAATCATGAACTCCTCTGATTGGCTGTTGTGTCCACACGCTCATCGGATGTGTCTGTGATTGGCTACGGTGATCAGCGCACGGGAGTGCTCGCATGTGAAAAAATTATAAAATTCCAGTTTCGATTTGGTACTAAAGAGAACGCTAGTCACATGATCATCTGAGGCTCCCATGAGCACCTGCAGGTGAAGAACTGCACTCCTTCATGGCTCCCATCATGCTTCCCTCTCTCCGGATCATCCCACTCCACTCCCAGCCACACGCCTGCACACACACACACACACACATGACCTCACACACTCAAAAACATATGACATAAAAAGCCAAAACTGACTTAACTGTGGCGAACATACACCGTTTAATGTTGTTTATGTGTTTGTTATTTTTGTGGAAGAAATTTTTTGTTTATCAAAGATGAGTTTAAGGGACTTTAAGTCATAATTATGAGATAAAAAGATGAAGTCATGACCAAATGTTTGGACAAAAAGTCACAAATGTGGCTTAAAAGTAAAAATTCTGACATAGAAACGTTTTAAACATACTTTTTATGTCATCATTTCGACGCGTGATGTGTATAGTGTTGTTGTTGTGATGTGGATGAAGGACCTGTTGTGGGCGGAACCGGACCCACATATCGCACAGTCCCTCGGTGTCCATCACAGGTCACGCGCATGCCCACGCGTGGCTCTTTCTCGTCCATCATCTTCATCATCTACAGACATCAGAGGAGTGGCGTCCGCGGCGACAGCTCGAGTTTATATATGCGTTCAATCATTATACAACATTCCCTGTAAGCAGAGACAGGCCAGTTACACGCTGAATAACTTAAATAAGAAATAATAACAGAGTGGAAATGTTCCTGCATCACTCTCACCTGCACAACCAGCGACAGGAAGTGACGTTCAGGCGGTCCCGCGCTTAAACTGCGTCGAAGAGAAGAAACACCCTCGCGCTGCTATTTATTTCATCAATGTCAGTCAAACCGATAAATTGACATGTAAATTTATTCTTGAAATAAAGTCGTTTGCCTCGTTATCGTGTGTAGCGCGCTTGATGTGTTCTCGATATGAGATTAGTAGGAACTAATGATCGGTGTTTGTGTTTCCAGGAGACAGGGAAACTCTGCGCACGCGCGTGTGAGAAACACAACCGAAACGTGTGTTTGTGTGTGAAATATTGATGTTGAAATATCTGATATTTACACGGACATGAGCTCGAAGTGACATCATGAAGAAGAAACAGCTTGTAAAGAGGTTTGTGTTTCCTTATGAATGTATAAACTGTAGTATTTCACTCAGAGCTCTGCGATGAAGTATGGAAACACACATGGAAATAACCAGGCTTTTGCAAATCATAATTATGATATACTAACTCAGTCATAACTGACATAAAATGTAGATATCATGACAAAAGGGTTTCGACTTTTTAATGTCAAGATAATCGATCATGATTTGGTATGTTATAATTTCGATTTTTATTTTCCATTATGATTTACCAAAGCATGATTTGTTCTTATGTGCTGGAAATGAGCTTCTAATGTGATGTTTTTAGATAAAATAGTCATACAACTGATACATGTCTACCAAATAATTTTCTATATAATAATTGTTAATGCTAACTAATGTAGTTAACTAAACAACCTTATTGTAAAGTGTTACTGAAACAGCATGTCACGGTATTATACGGATATTTTCTGATTGTGAACTGTGTGTGTTGTGTGTGTTGTTGCAGTGGAGATGCTGGCCAGTATACGGTGGGTCAGGTGTCCGGAAGCCTCTTCCCAGAGCAACTCAAACCCGGAGCTTTGTCCGCTTTATTCTCCTCCTCTTCATCAGCAAAGACTCTAGTCTTCGTCCCTGCGCCACAGGTGTGTGTATCAGAGGATCTCAGTGTGTGTGTGTGTGTGTGTCATAACGCTGGTTTCTCCCATCAGCCTAAAGCGTGTCCGCCAGCGTCTGGTTCTGCTCCGAGTCCCGGCCCGACCCGTCGGCCGAAGAAGACCCTGAAGAGGCCGTCGGCGGCCGAGCAGAAGCTGCAGGACCGGTCAGTGTGTGGACACACTCTAGCTATCCACAAATTATAACAATTAGGGATGGGCGATATGGACTTAAAACGATATCATCATATTTTCTGGCATTTATTGTGATAATAACGATATCAATGACGATATAAATACAGTAATATATTCGCCACTGTTTTTGGCTGCAAGCGTTCATGAGCCTCAGAAACACAAACACTGATTTAACTCGTTCCCATCATCACGTAGGCTCCTATAATATTACATAGAATATATATATTAAAAACAGTAAAAATGTGTACATCCGAACACCAGCCCGTGCAGAAGTGGAAAAGTTGCAGATAATGTTTAAATAGTCAAACTGAAGAATAAAAACCCAACACTGATACTGATAAGATGATAATCGTACTCTGAGTCCTGCTGCTAATAGCAGTTTAATACTCGCACGCCCGCTCCAGTCGCTCTCTCTCTCTCGAATGATCCTGCTGTTGTCCACAGAGAGAGCGCTCTGCAGAACGCAGACGACGACGGGCCGGCGACTGCCAGGAAACGCACACACACACACGCGCGGCCGGACGAGGAGGAGGAGGGGGAGGGGGATCCGCGAGCCGGCGGACGCAGGAGGAAGAACACGGCGGAGGAGCGGCTCAAGCTGAAGCGCACGGTGTTCGTGGGGAACCTGCCGGCCAGCTGCAGCAAGAAGGTGCTCACACACACACACACACACACACATCTGCATATCTCCTGCACTGACAGCATTATATGAGAACTGACCTCACGCATCACTTCCTGCTGTTCACTGAGCTCACGCATCACTTCCTGCTGTTGTGTTGCAGAGTCTCCTGTCCCTGTTCCGGCCGGTGGGAGTCGTGGAGTCGGTGCGCTTCCGCTCAGTGGTGCGTCTCTAGCCGTTATAACCTCAGAATATCACCTCACTGTGTGACATTAATCCGCGGTGTGTGTGTGTGTGTGTGTGTGTGTTGTAGGTTCGGGAAGATCCGACGCTCTCCCGCAAAGTGGCGGCCATCCAGTGAGTCCCGAGTCTGATACTCTGATTAAATACTGTTTCCTGTAATACAGAAACTGCACACACTCCCTCAGCGTCTGATCGATACGAGATAATAACACTGATCACACACTCGCTCTGATCTGTTTAATTCAGTCACATGTTTGTTCAGTCGAGTGTGTAATAGTGTGAGGCTGAGGCGAACGCTGTGTGTGCTCGTGATATTCAGTCACATGTTCTGCAATATCTCGAAGTGAACGATATTTAAGTTTTTTATCATTGGAATCGAAATGATGAATCTTTCAAATTCAAACGATACCCAACCCTTATTATATAACACAATTAACATCGAGCACACACACACACACACACATGTGTAGTCTTCATAGGCGTCGTGCTTAAATAGTTCTCTTCTGAATATCGTCACATTTAACGGATTTGCTGTTTGAACTAGAACACGTTTATAATGCGCTTTATTTCCTGGTGTTTCTGTGTGTGATAATAAGCTGAAGTGTGTGTGTCCTGGATAATACGGTCCTGATCCTGTCTTCGTTTCTAGGAGGAAAGTTCATCCCAAAAAGCAGAACATTAACGCGTACGTGGTGTTCCGGGAGGAAGAGGCGGCGGCGGGAGCGCTCAAATGGTACGAGTTCATTCGCAGATTTATACTGTATTCTTCTGAATCAAATATTAAGGACGTGCATTTGAACTCGTGCAGGAACGGTCATGAGATCCAGACGGGGTTCCACATCCGAGTGGACCGAGTCTCTAAGCGCAGCGCAGTGAGTGATGTCATCATATAATTATAATAACACTTCTACTGTCTGGATGATGTGTTCAGGCTCTTCTAAAACTTGAATGTTGTTTATTCTCCATAACGCTCGGTTCACACAGAAAAATCCAATAATCAATCTTTCTCTGTCCACAGCATGATCATAAACGCTCCATATTTGTGGGGAATTTACCGTACGGTGAGTCAACGAATGTGTTTCTGTCTTCCCGTCCACACATCTGAACATTCCTAGATCAAATTACACATTATGTCTTGTTTTCTGGGGAAATCAATCAAAACTAAGAGACATGATGCTTAAAAACAGCAAAATGATCTGCAAATGGGGTCAGAAAGCCTTTGCCGTGCTCACTCAGTGTGTGTGTGTGTGTCAGATGTGTCCGAGCTCCCGCTGCGAGAGCACTTCGAGGAGTGCGGGACCGTGGAAGCCGTGCGTCTGGTGCGAGACAGGGATTCTGGGATGGGAAAAGGCTTCGGATACGTCCTGTTTGAGGTCATTAATATGTATTTGATCAATTTAATCTTTCTTACTTTTAGCCATATACACAACCAGTCCAACGCTTCGGATCGGTACGATTCCTCCAGTGTAAATCATCTGTTCTCTGTGAATATACAGTAAAGTGTCATTTATTCCTGAATTTATCATCATTACTCCAGTCTTCAGTGTCACATGACCCTTCACAAATCACTCTAATATGAGGATCTGATGATCAACACAGTTATCAATATAATGAGAACTTTACATTATATAGTGTTGATAGCAGTTAATTACCTTTTATTATCAGGATTCTTTGATGAATAGAAAGTTCAAACGAACAGCATTAATCTCAAATATAATCTATTATAACGTCAAAGTCAAAGTACGTGTATATAACTCTTTTCAACACTGATAATAATCATAACTGTGTGTTGATCATCAGATCCTCATATTAGAGTGATTTGTGAAGGGTCATGTGACACTGAAGACTGGAGTAATGATGATAAATTCAGCTTTGATTTTTAAAATAAATTAAAGAAAACTGTTATTATTTTAAATGATCATCATAATACTGTTTATGTGTGAGTATTTTTAATCAAATAAATCCCGCTTTGGCAGAAGAGACTTCTTTCAAAACATTAGCTATCGCACCGATCCGAAGCTTTGACCGGGAGTGTGTCTCCGCATCTGCACTAGATGTAATATGTTTGTGCCTGTCTGTTTTTCCTCCATATTCTCAGACTTTATGAGCCATAAAAGATCAAATATGAAACGAAACATGTTCCAGCTGTGTTGTGGTTCCTGTGTTTCAGAGCCCAGATTCAGTGATGCTGGCGCTGAAGCTGGACGGGTCGACTCTGCTGGAGCGGCGGGTGCGGGTCAAGCGCTCCGTGAAGAAGGAGAAGCAGAAGAAGAAGCAGCGTCCGCCAGCCGGAGCGCCCCGCGAGAGGACCGCTCCGGACGCCCCGCGCCGCCGCACACCCAAGGGCCCGAAGCACCAGCTCAGGAACCGCATGAAGAACCTCGGACCCAAACCAACACCAGCGACCTCGTTCAGCGGAGAGACGGCGGATCCGGCCAAGAGGAGCCGAGTGATGAAGAAGAACAAGAAGAAGAAGAGCAGACCCGCCGTCCACATCTGACCTCTGACCTGATCAACATCACTGATAACACCTGACCCGGCAGCGCTCGTGTCTCCAATAAACATCTGATTAAACACACTGGTGTTTCTGTCTCTAAAACAACCCGGACGATTTTAATAAACATTGAATTTTTTTCATTCTCGCCTCTTTTTTCCGGCAGATTTCATGCCGAATATTTTTAATGATATTTAATTTAGCATTCAGCAATATTATTGATCTCCTGCATTGACAGCATTATATGAGAACTGATGACATCACGGGCTCCTCCAGAGCGGCTGTATATATATATGAAGTATATTAATAACTCTATTACAGCAGAAATGAAGCATCGCTGAACTCACATCAGCTGGACTGACTCTTCTCTTCTGGACACACACTCGTTCTCCTGCGCTCGTCTCTGTAAAGTGGCTCTGACGCACTAAGTAGAAAGTGCTATATATAAATAAAGCAGTTTAATATTTTAAGTTGTATTCATAAACACAAACGCATTGTGCAAACATGAATTCACATCAGGATAGATTATTAAAGGCTGTGAACAACTGAAGTCTTCATTCTCAGATCATGATACCGAACGCATTAAAGTGTGTATATTATTGTGTGTTTCCCGGCGACTGAAGTATATTTGAGCTTTTAGGTTTAATCTTCAAATTGCAGTTGTGCATCACAAGATCTAGGGACTGGTGTTGCGAATTAGCCTTGGCTATAAACACTATGATACAGGCATCGGATTGTTCTTTATGTAATAATCTATGTTTTTTTGTATCTGTCCCTATTCAAATAAACAGTATAAAAAAGATCTCCATATTAATGCACACGAAGGGCTGATTCGGTTTATCCGTTTTTATTTGGAGTTTTAAAAAAAGGAAACTTAAACATGCTTAATTTCCCACAATTCCACATCAGACGTCTCAGCCTTGGAGAATAACTTAAACACACGAGGACAGATCAATGACACACGAAAGACATCCAAACAACATCCTGTCTCTGAGCCTATCACTGATGTTTAATGGAAACGCAATAATCGGTTAGTAAACAAACGACACAAAAATAACGGATGTTTCCAGACACGCTCGTTACAGGCTCAACAACATGAAGAGAAACTCATTCTATCCCAGACGCTTCTTTAAAACCGTGTCTGTGCGTTCGGTGGCAGAGCAGACAGGAAGTGATGTCACAGTTCCTATTCGATGTCGTCGTCGCTGACACTCTGAGCGCTGACGATACGCTGAGAAGCGGAAAAAAACATGACATTTGCATTTGGGAATGAAAAAATAAATCATTTATTCTTTTATCTTATTATTATCAATTATTAAATGATTACGGAAGCTCGTTTGTGCCACAGAGAAAATCATTAAAAAGTGGCTTTTACCTCACCCTTCTGACGACTTATAGTTACAAATTGTTAGACACGGATGAATGGATGGATGTTTGTGTGTGTGAGTGAGTAAAGGGAGGCGGGTCCCACCTGGCTGATGGTGGGTAGTTTAGTGAGCAGCATCTGGAAGACTGGAGGAGGAAGCGTTTGCTGGAGGACCTGCAGGAGCTGCTGAGGCTGACCACACACTGCGATCGCATTCGTCAGGTGGTCCACGCCCTTCTCATAGTCTCCTGAGAGAGAGAGAGAGAGAGGGGGATGATGGGTAAGCGCTCTGCAGAAACACACAGTGTGTGTGAGCCACCGCAGTGAGGTCTCACCCTGAGCCAGGAGCTCTTCTCCGAGCTGGATCTCCTCCAGGAAGAACTTCTGAACCGCTTCGGCGTCCTTCAGGTCCGGTAACTGAACACAGAAATAAAAGCTTTTCATGTGGCCATTTTCTCAATCATGATTCCCGGCTATAGTAATGAGGAATAACCAGTGAAACATGAATGTGTGTAGAATTACCCTCGATAATCCAGCCTTCTCCTGAGACGCCTTCTGCCGTTTCCTTCCTGAAACAAAATCACACACATCCACTATTAGACCTGAGAGACACACACCTACAGGACCACAACCAGCCGGACCACCTACCGGACCCAGATCAGCTCACATACTGACATTACAGACACACAGACAGACAGGTGGATGGATGGATAGTGGATAGATGGATGGATAGATAGATAGAAAGGTGGATAGATAGATAGATAGATAGATAGATGGATAGATATGTATAATCAGATAGACGGACAGGCAGATATACAGACAGACAAACATATAATCAGACAGTCTGTCAGGCAGATATATATATATATATATATACTCAGACAGACATAGTCAGATAAACAGACACAGACATAGACAGACAGATATATATATAGTCAGATAGACAGAGATCAGCTGCTCTCACGTTCTCGGAGTTTGTTCTGGTAGTTTGGATCACTCCGCCTCTTTCTGTCGAAATAAACACAGTAACCGACGAACAGCGCCGCGCCCAAACCCGCCGCGATCCTGGAGCTACTGCTGCCCATCATGACGAGAGAAACACACGACACGAGAGAAACACACCGGGGGGATAATGACGGTAATAATAACACAGATCAGACTGACTGCATGACCCTCACGGAGCCACACGAGGAAGGACCCCGATGACGTCAGAGCCCGTGACAGATGAGCGACCGCGGGCTCCGCCTGATCAGAAATGCACAAAGACACCCGCAAACAATTTATTCAATCGCGTATGGAGATGAAACCAGGCGACAGCCTTATTACCTTCATGTAGAAAATGAAATAATTTAAAAATCTACAGTTTGGAACAATTGCGTCATTGATTTCAACAGCAGATGGCAGTGAAGATCCACCGCAGAAAAACATCAAACACAAACGTGATCTGATGACGTTTTAGTTGTTCCACTTTTTGTTTGATTACATTTCTTTCATTCATCTTTCAGAATTAATACATAATAATTAATACGTAATTTATTATAAATAGTAATAAATAATTTATTACGATTAATAAATAATTAATTATACATAATAAATGCATTTATAAATATATTCTTTTATATATAGTCTTAATTCGTTAAATTATATTCCAATGTAAAACAGTTGTTTTCTTAAATGTATTACTTTAAGTGTGTGTGTGTGTGTGTGTGTGTGTGTGTGTGTGTGTGTGTGTGTGTGTGTGTGTGTGTGTGTGTGTGTGTGTGTGTGTGTGTGTGTGTGTGTGTGTTCAGTAGGGGTCACTGCTGCATCACACTCCAAAAGCACAATCACACTGAATGAAAGATCATAACACCAGAACATCAGATGTATATTTGCTTGATAGTTTAATATCACTCTATTTACTCGACTCTTAATTACATAGTTACTCATTTTTATGCTTTTGGCATTTATGCTTTTTTTTTTGCCTTTAGTGACCCACACCTGCTGTAGTGTGTGTGTGTGTGTGTGTGTGTGTGTGTGTGTGTGTGTGTGTGTGTGTGTGTGTGTGTGTGTGTGTGTGTGTGTGTGTGTGTGTGTGTGTGTGTGTGTGTGTGTGTGTGTGTGTACTCTTGGCTCGGCTCGGCTGCAGATGGCCTGGACTGAAGCTCGACTGGATCTGATTAGAGGCTCTGAGGAGACACAGGCATTGATCATGTCGAGATCATCCCAGAATACCAATTACAGCCTCTGAACTGCCTTTAAATGATCAGCATCCAGTGATTAGACATGCGTGAACATCATCATCATCATCATCGACAGACAGTGTCCGCTTCCCATGCGCTGCGGAGTGTTTCACGGGGACTCGGCGGAGAAATGCTGCTTTTAGTTTTATTTTACTATTATTGTTTTATTCATATTAGGCCTACTACATTATTTCAAAGAAAACTTATTTTTAAAATGGCATTGCTCTTTTACAGTTTCCACCTGTTAATATGGTCAATTTTACAATATTATTGTAAAATGTTTATTTATTTAATTATTTTATTTTGGGGGGTATTTCTTAGTATTACATTTTTGTTAATTTTACAAGATTATAAATATCAATGTAAGAAAATATTAATGTATATATATATACATATATACAGCGTGTGTGTATATACATTAATATTGTGCATCTGGAAAGTATTCACAGCGCTTCACTTTTTCCACATTTCTACATTTCTTCAAAATTCTATAAACAATATCCCATAATGACAACGTGAAAGAAGTTAGTTTCAAATCTTCAGACTCACACCCGTCTATAAGGACAGTCAGTGTGCAGAGCTCAGCTCAGGTGTTGTTCTCTTTGATAATGCCGGAAAATCAACAGTATTACTGAATATTAACCGCTTTAGAAAGATTTGAACGTTTCTAACGCACTGCTTGCAGTCGGAACGAGTGTTTGATGATAACAGAAACCACAAATCCACAAAAACAGCAGCCAGTTCTTCACCTTTAGCCCAGACTAACTCTAGCCCAGACTAACCCAGACTAACTCTAGCCCAGACTAACTCTAACCCAGACCAACTCTAGCCCAGACTAACTCTAACCCAGACTAACTCTAGCCCAGACTAACTCTAACCCAGACTAACTCTAGCCCAGACTAACTCTAGCCCAGACTAACTCTAGCCCAGACTAACTCTGTACGAGTGTGTAAGTTGGTGCTCAAGTAGCAGGACAGGGTTGTTTAACTCCTGCACAACACAACTTTGAAGTCTTTGTTTCGGGACGAAAGGCACATGAATATTTTGGCACGCGCCCGAGGCCAAGATTTCTGAGCAGGACTGGAATGAAAGCCTTGGAAAACAGCTCCAGTTTAACTGCGTTTACCCAAGTTTCTCTCTCTCTCTCTGTGTGTGTGTGTGTGTGTGTGTGTGTGTGTGTGTGTGAGTGAGTGGGTTTTCTCCCCCTCCGGCTCGCCTCGGGAAATACTGAAGTGATGAAAGGCGCTTGCTCTCTCTCTCACTCTCTCTCTCTCTCTCTCTCTCTCTCTCTCTCTCTCTCTCTCTCATCATGAGCCTGTTCACACTTCCTGTTTACACGCCCGAGGGCAGGAGAGGAGCCTCTGATGATGATGATGATGATGATGATGATGAAGAGGATGATGATGATGCAATGTTGCTCGTGTTCATCAACGCAGCGCCTCGTTTCCGCCGCGGGCCTTCTGACAGCACCGGCTCATTCAGTGCAAAACTTCCCGGAAAATTGTAATACATTTTAAAACCTAATAATATTTCACTGTTTGTAATGCATTTATGATCAAATAAATTGGTGAGCAGAAGAGACTTCTTTCAAAAACTTGTAGCCTACTGACCCCAAACTTTTGAATGCGATATCAATCATTTGCAAATACATTTGCGAGTTATTTCAGTTAACTTTCATTAATTTGCAAAAATGTTTTGGTAACAGTGTCCTTATATGTTACTTACCATATTAATAACAGTAAATTATGCATAATTGATGCAACTAATCTTAATCCTACCCTAACCCTGTAGTAGGCAGTAGGCTAAGTACATGTAGTTCATTAATATTACTCAGCTATAAACATATAATTACTGTAGCCTTGAGAGCCACCAGAGGGCGCTCCACATCAGAGAAATGTCATTCCCTCACAAACTACATCTCCCATGACTCACGGCCGGACTCCTCATGCATTATCACAGACACCTGCGTCTCGTTATCTGGTTTAGCCCCATATAAACCTGGTTTTCTCGTTCGTTATCTGCGAACGAAGTCTTGTTTAGTGTTACACTGACTGCAGTTCCCATCAGTCTCCCTGGTTTGGGCTCTTGGGTTTGGATTTCTTGCCTGTTCTGTGGATTAGTACTCGTGTTCCCTGGACTACCTGTGTTTGACCTTGCCTGTACTTTGGATTACGTCTTTGGATTACCCTGTTCAGTAAATACTGCATTTGGATCCACAACCTTTGTGTCTCAGAGCTGTTCGCACTGTAACTATGACACCTTAACATAATACTAAAGACTATAATAACCCAAGTAAACATTATTTTTGCACAAGCACCAGAGTTGTTTTTAATTTTATCCCCACTGCAACCTAATAATATGCACCAATGAGCAAAAGTTCACACACAGCAAGATAAGAAAACCAGTTCAGTGAACATTTACAGACACAGGTGAGTAAAACACAGTAAATGATCTCGTTGATAATAGTACACCTCTAATACAAACACTAGAGATTTGCATCGCCGTCTCATTTCCTTGTACGTCACTCACGAGCCTCGTCTGACACACACACACACACACACACACACACACACACTGACACAGCGCTTTTCATGTGTTAATAAACGAGTGCATCCTTCTCGAAGTGTGTTTTCCTCAGGTCAGGAAAGGTCTCCGTGCGCATGAGCACTGGCGGGCATCTGGACGCGGCGGCTTTTCTCATCTTCTATTAAAATAAGCTGAAGCCTGTTTTGTTTATAGCACACACAGATGGTACACTGATTTAATTACACTTCAGTCCTGTCACACACAGACACGAGAGCTGCACCGGACCACGCTAAAAATAAACTGATGTGAGAGCAGGGGTTAGGGTTCGTGAGTTTCTCTGTGTCCGCTCCAGCTGTCCTCCTACAGCAACTCGGCTTTTTGTTTGTTTTTATAGCGGAGCTGAAATGTGAACACGCAGCGTACAGCTGCCCTAAAAATACAAGCCGTCCACCTTAAAATATCCCCCCGGGCCCCGGTTTCACCCCGCGGGGCCTCAGGGTGGGAGATGAGTCCCTGCAGCCAAACAGAGTTCATGAGGCACGCCTGGACACTGCAGGTTAGGGTCATCGGTTCCTCTGTAGAGCCGCATGAATAATCGTGACGTCGACACTGAAACATGTTTTTTATTTATTCGAAGCCCTGCTGCAGAAATTTGCATATGAAAGAGCCTTTGATGAGTTTATCTGAGACACGTGGCGCACTCATGAGAACACATGCTGTCGTGTTCAGGCTGGATCTAAACGCACCCTTCGTCACACACCTTGCCCTCCTCTTCCTCTTCCAGGTAATCTGTGCACTAATGTCTCAAATTAATCACTTTTATAATTAACAAATCACTTAATCGTCTGATTGGAATGAACACTTGCGAGCTGAATCAGATATATTTCCTTCTCTAATATCGCTAATATCCACTTGTGTTCTGCTCGCCATGTGAGGCGCGTTTGTGTGCGATGGGATTATGGGATGTCGTGAACCGTGAGCTGAATGTTTCCTCTCCTGACGGCCAATCACAGCGTCGCACCGGAGGAGGGAATAACGTTGCCAAGACAACAGCATCGAACCTGCCAAACATTCAGTAAGTATCTTTCCAGACACGGGTATGTTCATAAATTCACGTCAGATAAATAAATAATGCACAGCATAACGCAATATCGTGAAACCACATCTGCATTTCCTAAAGGCACTGCAGCGGTAGAACAGCGGTACATATTGAGATACAAATAATTCAGTATTCAAATAGCTGTGAGAAAGAAGACCAATCACAGTGCAGTATGCAAATATTACAATGACGCCATTGCTTCAGGATAGATTTTTGAATGGACGCCAAACATTTCTTCAATTTCTTACATCTTAAACATGAAATCACAATAAAGAGTGAAATCGCTGTGAAGATTAGACGAATATGATTTACCGTGAACGATCAGTATCAGACGACATCATGCAGCGAACACACCTGATCCAACACA